AGGCGCGGTGGGCAGCAGGGGAGAGGAAGCTCGGTGGTGTTGGTGGCTGCTCCCCGCTGGAGGTTGGCTGGGGAGAGCAGAAGGTGCGGACTAGGGCAGGCCGGGTACCGGCGCAGCCTTGCCATGCCTCCAGGTATGCTGCAGTCCCCCCCAGCTGATGACTTTTGTGGAGTCCAGGCAGCAGATGCCAAAAAGCGTCAGTAGCAGGGTGCTCTGGTGCATAGGGAGCAGCACGGGGGGGCAGGACCCCCTTTGTCTGCCCCCACAGATCCTGCTTGCAGCTTGGGCTTCCCAAGAGGAGTGGAAGCAACCACACTGACCAGCAAGACCCACCTTACACTATGGGGCCACAGCTCAAAGGGCAGCCTGGGAGGGTGCTCAGAAGCTGGCACATCACTCGTCCGCTGCTGTGGAGGAGCTGCGGTTAGCAAGTGCTGCATAATCCTGGTATTCTCTGCCTCCTTGGTTTAGGAAGAACATGCATGCCCATGGACAGTTATTCTATATATGCAGACTTACATTTAGATATAAATAATTGTGGGAAAGGAACACTGAAGTTCAAAGACTGGGAAGCTCTACAAATACTGTATACTCTGCTCTGCGGCTGTTTCTCTCTTCCTGCTTCCATTCAACAATCCTTCAAACAGATCCTGGTCAGGGCAGCTGAACAGTGAGGCACCTTTTTAGCATGAGGACATGCTTGTGTCAGGCTGGGACGTGGCCTCCTGCCCCCAGTGCCCTGGCAGTGCTGGTGCTATGTTCAAGAGAGCACAGTGGCTTTTGAGAGGTGCCAGACCAAGAGACGGTTTGGATGAAAGAAGCATAGCAGGGGCAGTGCCTGAGTGAGTTTCCCTTGCCTACGGTGTCCCCTGGCTCACAGGGATTACGAGAAGCTTGTCTGGGCTTTGATTGCTTCATGGTGGCTGCCAACTTGGGTGTCAGTATAATCTTACCCCGTGGGAGCAGGCAGAAGAGCTGCAGTCCGTGACATGCACTGTTCAGGCTAAGGGCACACTTCCCGCGGCCAGAAGCTATCACAGACTTGCATGAAGCAGCTGGTGGAGGAGAGGGAAGCTGCAGCCTTCCCTGACAGTGCCATGCTTGCTGGTGTCTCATCTGATGCAATGAGGAGAGATCTTAGTGGGGAACTTGGCTTTGTGGACTGACCTAGGATAATCTTCTTGTCCCCAGAAATACCGGGAGGGGAGGGTGTTCTTGCTCCCCTGTAGTGCCTGTGTAAAGCTGTACTGGCCGTGTGATATTCTCATTTCTATCAGGACCAACTGCTGGTGCCAGCATTGCTGAACATCCCAGGAGTGTGGCTGAATCCCACCTGTAAGGGTCTGTTGGCCAGGACTGACAGGTCTGGGGACTGAAAAAGGAAATGCACTCTGTCCTGTTTGGAGGTGCCTTATCTCGACATATCTCAGGTCACAGTTCCAGGAGACAGCCAGGGCTTCAGGTGCTGCTCAGCTTGTCCCAGCATGGCAAGTAGCAAGAGCTACTGCTGACCAGAGCTGGCTGAGCCCTTGTTTCTTGGTGGCATCATATGCATACATCTACACTTAATGGTGGTGAGCTGAATCTATATCAGCAATGCATTTTTGCCTTGGAGGGTAGGAAGTGCCAAGGAACAAGCTCTTCAGCCTGAGAACAAGCAAAAAAGTATCCTTGTCCTGCTGCTCAGGTGGGATCCGATGGAAGGAACCAGTCCTCCTCCAAGTTGCTGTGTAAAATGGAGACCTTGGTATTGTTGCAGGAGCTGACTGCTGGCAGGCTTCCCTAGCTCCTAGATGCTCAGCCTTCCCCTTTCCTCTGCAGTTGGCAGTGCTGCCAGCCTGGGCCTGAGCCAGCTCTTTCTTCTAGGCAGGTAGTTCCTGAATCTGTAGGCATGTGGAGTGTGATGTGGGTGTTTGAGGGGGCCATCCTGACAAGGAGTTGCCACTGGCTGTCCAGGGCCTTGGATGATGCACAATCTCTAGAAATGACTGGATCTTCCTCACCTGCCTTGTTCTGGGGACTTAAGGTCAAAGGGAATAGGGCTTATTCATTTGTTGCATGATGTAAGCGAATTGGCGGGGCAGAACCATGAAAACTGATGCTCAGGAGTCCCACTGGAGTCCCCTGCAAGCTGCTGCCACAGCCTGGCACTTAGGAGCTACCTGGGCGTTCAGGCTGCTGCTCAGGCTTTTTTGAATTTTTCAGCCCTATAGAGAGCTGTCCCTAGGATATCTAACCTTGCAAAACCCCGGGTGTCTTGTAAAGTGAGGGTTTAGCATTCTGGGGGTGAATCAGAGATTTCAGGCAGGTCTCTGCAGGGAGAGGCAGGTGAGAGGTGCAGGAGGTTAGGACATGGGAACACTTGTTAAACGAGGGGACAGTAGGTAGGACTAGGGACGGGCTGGTTCAGAGAGGAGCTTAAGAGCTTGAAGGATTTCTGGAGTTGTTTAGTGTTCAAAGATGCAGCGTCAAGGTTGTTGGGGTGATGAAGGTATTTTGGCCCATGTATGTGGTCACTAGTGTGCTGGGCAGGTTTGTCACCTTGAGGCTTTTTTGAGAAGAGGATTCCCCAGGTCTCAGAGTTTAGTGCAAGCAGTGACGGGGGCTCCCCCTTATACTGCCTCTGCCCTGTGCATTGTGGGCATCTCTGCTTCATGGCTGCTCGTAAGTCATTCCATCCATTCTGTACATCCCAGAGCAGCTTCTGCAGGTGTGGGACCCCATCTCCTTTCACCTCAGGGGTGATCTCAGAGGCTAACACCATGTACGGGGGAGGGGAGGCTGTAGCAGAGGTCTAACCCTTGTCTTTCTCAGTGTGTGCTACAGTTAGCACCCAGGCACCTTGTAAGGTTGTCCCATGTGTTCTGCAGTGTGAACCGAAGCACAGGGAAGGGATTTGACTGGGATCCCACAAAGAGTTGGCCAAGCCATGGCTGGACCAGTTCTGCCCTCTAGCACTGCGGAGATGTTAGGTGCACCTGCAATAGCAGATTTACTTACCACTTGCCAGTGCTCAAGCCTGAGCGATGGGGGAGGCTCCCGGTGGTGGATAGAAACCCTGTTTGCAGTGAAGTAGGGCAAGCCTTTAGCTTCGTTCCATCAGACTGCAGTGGGCAGATGACGATGGCATTTATATCAGAGCCTGCTCTCCTCCCAGTGACACTGTTCTGGGACAGAAGAGATTTCCCTTTTCCTTGGCTTTTTCATCTGTGTGTTTGCTGTGCTGAACTCCAAGAGCTTGAGGAGGCAACCTTATTCAGCTGCTTCTGTGGGGGGAAGCCGTGGAGTTGGTTGTTTGCTCCTGTGAGCCCAGGAGACGAGCAGGGATGCTGCAGTTCCTACCGGGATTAGGCTCTGCAGCTGGCTCCTCCTCCATCTCTGCTGTGGTTGTATCCCCTGTCATTGGCACTCCATCAGCTTTTAGAAACCCCACCAGTGCAGCTGATGTGTATGTGTTTTACCTCAAAAGCCTAGGACAAAACTGGGTTGTAAACAGTTTACAGCATGTGTTGGCGTGACCCTGTAAAAGCGCTGCAGTGTCTAAATACTGCGTAGTCCTAGGAGGAGACTAATGCATGGACTAGAGCCCTGCTAACACAGTTCCTGGAACCAAGCCTGGGCTGCATCGCGCTCCCTGCCGCCCTGCCCCGGGTGGGTAACCGCAGCAGGGCTTGCCGGCTTCTCTGCAGGGCGACAGCCAGTATCGCCCTTCTCCTGAGCAGGATGATGCATGCAGTGCAGAATGTGAGAGGCCGTGGAGCAACTGAGAGGTGGAATTTGCTTTTCTGAGACCATCCTGGCCCAAAGACCTGTCTCCTTGGTGCCCCTTCCCCAACTTGGTAAATGAGCAAGCGGAATGATTTGCTTTATTCCTTGTGCTCCGTTGGCAGATTGCCCCCTGAACGAGGCACTATTTCTGTGCAAGCCCTCGCTACACAGACACCCCAGGCTTAGCGTGTACTTTGCATCTCCCTGAGGCCCTGGTTCAGATCCTCCCCAAGCTCCTCCTTTGGCCGAGCAGTCCCCTTAGAGCTTCACAGTTGCTGCTGCTGGGGAAGATCTGCAGCGTAGAAAGCAGCTGTGGGAGAGGAAACCTTCAGCTGCCTGGGTAGTGGCACAGCAGTCCAGCACAGGAGAGCCGTGCTGCAGCTGAGCAAAGCCAGAGGGGTCCGGGCAGACTCTTGTAACCACAGCATGGACCTGAGCAGAGAGGGCACAGGTCAGGCGGCTCTGCCTGCTGGGTGGCCCTCCTTCCTCTCCTCGCTCCCTTTTCTCTTATGCAGGGTTCCCTCCTTGCCCTGTGACCACAAGGCTGTTGCAGTGGTGGGTCTTACTGGGAAGACTGGGGCACACGTGTGTCCATGCCGGAGGGGCAAAGCAGAACCTCTCCTGTTGCCAGCAGACCAGCACTGCCTTCCCTGGGCTCTGTGTTTCTGTCACTGGCTTTTGCTTTCAGCCGGTGGCCTCAGAGAACTCGGTGCTACTGATGCTCGGGATCCACAGGGGGACTTTTCGCTGTTCCCCTTGCCACCGGTGGTCCCTCTGGATGTGCCGCCTGCTTTGCTCATTGCAGGCGGGCTGCCGGGGCGGGCGGGAAGGGAAGCTCCCTGCCTCTGGGAGAGAAACCTCTGTTGGAGATTTGGGCCGGATCCAGCCCTGCTAATCGCAGTGGCAGGAGTCCCACTGGCATGGGGTGGACCAGGCTTTGGCAAGGTGTAGGGAGGAAAGATTAGTACGTGGGACTCGAGGGGACCATGCCAGGGCTGAGGGGCTCTGCGGGGAGAGCAGGGGGGCATTTCTTAGAGGAAAGGAGAGGCCCAGATCTGTCCCTAGACTTGCCAGTGGTTTTGTGACTTCTGATTCTTGCTTTAATTGTCCTGTTTGTGAAAGTAACCCCTCTGGTTTCTAGTAGTGTGAGACTATTAAGCTCTTTGAGATCACTGGATGAAAGAGGCCTCCAGTCCAGTGTACTCAGGAATGGTGGAGGGCTAGGTGCAAGCATGAACTTCACTGCCCTGAATGGTGTCATTACAGCTGACCCTACAACGACAGAGGTGAGTTCAGGAGCTATGCTGCGTGCAGCTGGGGAGGGTGAGCAAAGCTGAAAGTCTCTTACTGAGTTTTGTGGCATCTACACCAGGCTGGTGTTCTTGTCCCCTTCTCTCAGGTTGTACCTTTGGAGATTGCTGGGTTGGATGGCATTTGGGCTGGATTAAATCTTTTGTATAAGAAAGCAAATAACCTCTGCATGTTCTGCCTTTGATTGTGATAATGTGAGGTCTCACTGACCAAGCTGGATCAATACATGAGACTTCAGAGTGTTGCAGAGTGACAACAGTTTCCTTAAGTGAGGTTTTTCCTGGGTCTTTGTGAAATCCTGCATGGCTCCTATGTTGAAGGCATCAGTGCAATCCCTTTTAAAAGTCCTGTTGCTGAAGTATTGCCCTTTCCTCACCATGAAAGGCCTGAGAGCAGTTTTTCCAGAAGTATGGGCTGTCACACCCAAAAAACCCCTAGTGCAAGCAGGGACATTTGCTGGCAGCTGTGACTGGCTGCTCGCCCATCTTGCTGTGGCATATTGGTAGGGTGCACTTTACTGCCCTCCTGAACACCTTTTAGGATATTACTCCATATTTGCTTTGTCTTCCACCAGATGCAGCTGCGTTTCAGCCATAGAAAAGTACTTTTCTGTTTGTGTGGTTTGTAAAGCACTTGAGAAGCACTTCAGAGCCTCTTGGGCTGTCAAGTGTTGTGGTGGGAATCGCCATTACCAAACAGAGGCCTTTCCAGCTGCAGAAGGTCCGGTTCTCTGCCTTATAGGCTGCTTGTGCTGCCGTGGTAGGAGAAACTTAGCAGAACGAAGCCCCCCATAGTCCGAGAGGAAATGGTTAGTGACTTGACACCACTTAGGCACACACAAGTCTAGGGGTCTGGATGGGATCCGCCCAAGGGTACTGAGATAGCTGGTGGAAGTGCTCGCCAGGCAACTTTCAATAGTTTATCAGCAGTCCTGGCTAACCGGGGATGTCCCAGTTGACTGGAGGTTAGCAAATGTGATGCTCATCTACAAGAAGGGCTGAAAGGAGGATCCTGGGACCTACAGGCCTGTCAGTCTGACCTCAGTGCTGATGAAGGTTATGGAGCAGGCCATCTTGAGTGCCATCACGTGTCATGTACAGAACAAGCAGGTGATCAGGCCCAGTCAGCATGGTTTTATGAAAGGCAGGTCCTGCTTGACTAGCCTGATGTTCTATGACAAGGTGACCCACTCAGTGGATGAGGGAAAGGCTGTGGATGTTGTCTGCCTAGACTTTAGTAAAGCCTTGGACAACATTCCCCACAGCATTCTTCTGGAGAAACTGGCAACTCGTGGTTTCTTTGCTGGGTAAAGAACTGGCTGGATGGCCAGGCCCAAGGAGTTGTGGTCAATGGAGTTAAATCCAGTTGGCAGCCCGTTACAAGTGCTGTTCCCCAGGGCTCAGTATTGGGGCCAGTTCTGTTTAGTATCTTTATCAATGATCTGGACAAGGGGATGGAGTGCACCCTCGGTAAGTTTGCAGATGACACCAAGTTGGGTGGGAGTGTTGATCTGCTTGACGGAAGGAAGGCCCTACAGAGGGATATGGACAGGCTGGATCAATGGTCCAAGGCCAATTGTTTGAGGTTCAACAAGGCCAAGTGCCACCTTCTGGACTTGAGTCACAACAGCCCCATGCAGTGCTACAGGCTTGGGGAATAGTGGCTGGAAAGCTGCCTGGTGGAAAAGGACCTGGGCGTTTTGGTTGACAGGCAGCTGAATATGAGATGGCAATGTGCCCAGGTGGCCAAGAAGGCCAAGAGCATCCTGGATTGTATCAGAAATAGTGTGGCCAGCAGGACTAGGGAAATGATTGTTCCCCTGTATTTGGCACTGGTGAGGCCTCACCTTGATTACTGTGTTCAGTTTTGGGCCCCTCACTACAAGAAAGACATTGAGGTGCTGGAGTGTGTCCAAAGAACAACAACGAGGCTGGTGAAGGGTCTAGAGCACAAGTCTTATGAGGAGTGGCTGAGGGAACTGGGATTGTTTAGTCTGGAGAAAAGGAAGCTCAGGGGAGACCTTACTACTCTTTACCTGAAACTACCTGAAAGGAGGTTGTAACGAGGTGGGTGTTAGTCTCCTCCCCCAAGTAACAAGCGATAGGACAAGAAGAAATGGCCTCAAGTTGCACCAGGGGAGGTTTAGATTTGATATTAAGAAAAATTTCTTCACTGAAAAAGTTGTCAAGCATTGGAACAAGCTGCCCAGGGAAGTGGTTGAAACATCATCCCTGGAGGTATTCCAATGACATGTTGATGTGGGACTTAGGTACATGGTTTAGTGGTGGACTTGGCAGTGCTAGGTTAATGGTTGGACTTGATGACCTTAAAGATCTTTTCCAACCTAAATGATTCTGTGATTCTAAACCTGAATATTGCTGTTGGTCATGACTGGGAAAGGGGGAGAGACTCATGTGCGAGTGGTGAGAGGTGTGGTGAGGTGTTCAGCTGGGACAACCCATCAGTTAGAGCTGGCTGCGCTGGAGGGATTGGTGCAGGAGCCAAGATATGTGACATAGATCCCCCAGTCTCCATCTTGCTGTGCTTCAATAGCACTGTCCAGGATGCGGCAGTGGTGGGGGTTACTCCCACTGAAGAAGGAGGATGCTTGGGATGCAGGCTGGCAGAGTTGCCCTCTGATGCTCTCCTTCACATTCAGCTGTCCTCTGGCCATCTCCCATGGAGGGGCAGAGCACCACAGAGGGAGTGATGGCTGCCCACACTGCAGAACTGTCATCCTGGGGGGGATCCTGGCCTCTGGCCTGCCTGCCGAGGCTAGGAGCCCCACAGCGTCTGCTATTTTGTCCCCGTTCGTGGAGCTACAGGTGCCAGCGTGGCACCCTGTTGCCTGCTGCCCTTCCCCCTGCTGCTGCACCCTACTAACTCCTCTCTTGTTTTCTCTCCCCTTCTTCCTGGTCCCCCGGAGCAGCAGCGGCCAGTGAAGCAGTCTCTCAGCAAGTCCCTGTGCAGAGAGTCCCACTGGAAATGCCTTCTGCTGTCCCTCCTCATGTACGGCTGCATGGGAGCCATGACCTGGTGCCACGTCACCAAGGTGACCCGGCTGACCTTTGACAGCGCTTACAAGGGCAAGTCCATGATGTACCACGACAGCCCCTGTTCCAACGGCTATGTCTACATCCCCTTGGCCTTCTTGGTGATGCTCTACGTGGTGTACCTGGTGGAGTGCTGGCACTGCTACACCCGCAACGAGCTGCAGTACAAAGTGGACGTGGAGAGCGTGCATGAGCGTGTGCAGCGGATGCAGCAGGCAACTCCCTGCATCTGGTGGAAGGCCATCAGCTACCACTATGTCCGCAGGACCCGGCAGGTTACCCGCTACCGCAACGGGGATGCCTACACCACCACCCAAGTGTACCACGAGCGGGTCAACACCCATGTGGCAGAGGCTGAGTTTGATTATTCCAATTGTGGAGTTAAGGACATCTCCAAGGACCTCATCGACTTGGAGAGCTACCCAGCCACGCGGCTCCGCTTCACCAAGTGTTTCAGCTTTGCCAATGTGGAGTCAGAGAACTCCTACCTGACACAGCGGGCCCGCTTCTTCACGGAGAATGAGGGCCTAGATGACTACATGGAGGCCAGGGAGGGGATGCACCTCAAAAACGTGGACTTCAAAGAATACATGGTGGCCTTTTCTGACCCAGACAACCTGCCTTGGTATGTATCCCACTATGTCTTCTGGGTGGCGGCTCTGCTGACCCTATCGTGGCCCCTGCGGGTGCTAAATGAATACCGCACCTCTTATGTCCATTACCATGTGGAGAAACTCTTTGGGTTTGACTATGTGGCGGTGACACCAGCCGAGGAGCGCTCATTCTGCCGGAGGATGCCCCGTGTCAACACGGTGGACAGCACCGAGCTGGAGTGGCACATCCGATCCAACCAGCAGCTGGTGCCCAGCTACTCAGAAGCGGTCTTGATGGACTTGGTGGGGCTCTCTGGCTGCACTAGCTACTCTGCTTGCCGGTATGGGGGCTACCGGCAGAACTGCGAGCGGTGCCACAGGACTATAAGCAGCTCCTCCATCTTCTCCCGCAGTGCCCTGAGCATCTGCAATGGCAGCCCCAGGATCCCCTTCAGCAGCAGCCGTTTCTCCCTGGGCCGCCTGTACGGCTCACGACGCAGCTGCCTCTGGCAGAGCCGGAGCGGGAGCCTGAACGAGCAGAGCTGCCCCACTGAGCAGACCCGCCTCTCCAGCCAGGTGACTGTGGAGGAGGAAGACCCCCCTCCTTACCAGGACGCGCTCTACTTCCCCATCCTCATCGTGCACCGCAACGAAGGCTGCCTGAACCACGATCACCGTCACCTCCATCGCAACGGGTCCTGCGTGGAGACCTCGCTGTGAAAGCAGAGGGCGGTGAGATCTCGTTGTCTGTTGCCTGGCCCGAGCCAGTGCAGGATTTGGGGAGAGGAGCACAGGGGAGGGAGATGGCCTAGGAGGACATCAGGATGTAGCGGACATGGCATCTCGCTCTGGCAGCCAGCGAAAGCTCCTCCCGCCGGGGCTCTGACCTCCCAGAGGGGTGAGTGCTGATGCTCCCCCTGACATGGCACAGAACTCTAGACCGACCACCACATGCAAAAAAACCCACCCTCCCAGCCAAACCAACCCCAAAACCGTAATTCATGGCGTCAAGATCCAAAGTAGGGAATGAAAAGACAGGCCTGATGCAGGAAGGGAGTGCTTTGGCTCCCAGTCCTGCCTCCAGGCTGGTTTGTGCTCTGAAGAACCAGCAGCCACCAGAAAGCACCCTGCCACACCTCTGCCCACCCCGCTGCCCATGCTGGAGCGAGATCCCTCGCAGGGTGGAGGGGAACGGGCCCCTTGGGAGCGGCATGTAACTGCCTGTTCCTAAAGGTCTGGGGCATCCAGGCATGTGGAGCTGAGCGGCAGGTTAGAGCAAAGGCTGAAAGCCACAAATCCAGCTCTTCCCCTTCCCTCCCCCCAACTGTTCCCCACCCTCCCCACTTTTTTTTTTAGACCACGCTCCGACTGTTACTCTGTTCTCACTGCTGGGAATGGCACCACCTCCAGAGGATCCCAGACTCGGCTCCTTAGGAAGCTTCGGCACGCCAGCTCTGAGAGTCAGCATCCCCTAGGTAAAGGGCTTTCTGTTTGGGATTATAGCAGGCAGGCAGCAGCGGGGAAGGGATGAATGTTCAAACCCAGATGGAGCAGAGATCTCTGGCACTACTGATCTGCTTGCTGGAGGAACACTCAGCTGGAAAGAGAAAATGGGAGGCCTCGGGTGAGCTGGGGAAGGGGGAGAGGATAGCACTGGGACAGGCATCGTGGTAATAGGTGACGTGTCGAGTGGCTGGGGTCCCTTCCTAGCTTTGAAGTGAGTCCTAATCAGTTCATACAAGCATCAGGGAAGGCTCTGGTAGGTTCAGTTGCGGTTCACCTATTGATAATAGAGCAGCAGGTTAGTGCGTGTCTGGAAGAGTGATTTTTGCATAAGATAAGGATGGGCTCTGGCTGCAGACTCTGAGCTGCAGGCTCCTGGCAGCCTGGTTTTGGCAGAGAGCTCTGAGGGACTAGGAGGGAAGAGATGCAAAAAAGCATGCTGGAGCATCGGGAACCTGGGCTGGGAAATAAGGAGCAAAGGGATTCCCTTTCTGTGGGGCCCCATTGTGGGTGCAGGACACACAGGTGGGAGACATGGAGGTATCTGCTCTGAGGGATGCTCTGCTGGGGATATGTTAGAGGGGAATCTGCTTAAAACTGAGTGTTTTGCACTACAAAGGTTTTTGCAGAGAGGTGCCAGGCCGTGAGAAGTGAGGTAGCTTCTGTGCAGCCCTTTAGCCCCTGCGTTCCTCTGCCTCACTCTTGTCAGGACAGGCTGGCCTGCTCTGAGGTTTGTGCTGCCCCTTCTGTCCTGCTGAAAGGGGTCTCAGTGATGTTGGGCAAGGAGCCTTCATGTCACTGAAGCTGTATCAGTGGCTGCAGCATGCAGGTACCCAGATTTTCCTTTTCTGTCAACACGTTGCTGGATCCCTCGTGTCCCTGTTCTCAGAAAATCTTGTCTCCTTTTCAGTCAGCTCTTTAGGGGAGTGCATGCAAAATCAGCCAGCAATTTCTTCAGACAGTACTGCTCCTCAGCCTCACCACGCTTCCCTCATCAGCTGGGGCAAACAACAGCTGAGAGCAGTAGGTCTTGGGTGACAAGAGCATTCCATTAGCACCTGGGCTTTTGAGCTTGGTGTCTGCTTCCACATCCATTGCAGAAGGGCAAGATGTAACAAAGAGTGAAGCATGTAGTCTAGCCCATCTTCCTCCTGCCAACTGTTAATGAAGAGTCTGGTTCTGTCATGCTGCTGTACTGCTTCATCTCCCAGGTCTTGGGGAGGCTGCAAGTGCACTGTTCCACCATATCAGTCAGCTTTTGAAAATCATTTCTTGCTGGCAAGCCTGGAGCAGCCAGGGCCTGTGGGCATTGTTAAGGCTTCACTTGGCTTTTGTCTGTTCTTCTACTCTTTGTGTCTTGTGTGTCCTGGTCAGCATCTCTTGCCCTTCAGATCATCTTCCCCTTCTGGATCTCAAGTGCTAGACTCTAAACAATGGTTGTCTGAATAAAGGCCCTGAAAATCCCACTCTGATTCTGTCTTGTAATCTGGCCTTACTCTCACTACCAGACCTAGATGTTGGCTTAAATAAGATGGTTGCTTTGAGAACAGGGAAGCACAAGGTCTCCAGTTTGGGCAAATCCCTCTCTGTGTTTTGTTCTCATTATTACTGGCACAGATTCAGACTGGGTGACAGCAGTTACAGCCCCCTTGGCTGCCCTGGGATTTCCTTGCTTAGTGATGATATTTGGCTTGCAGTGCACTTGTTCTGCTCTCTCCAAGGGCTTAATGTAAGCCAAGGCCAATGCTGAGCATCCTTGTGACTCTGGGGTGATAATGGTATGTGCTTGTACGTCCCAGTGAATCAGGAGATGTTCAGTCGGTGGAGCTGCAACAGTGAGGAATGTGGTCCATTTGCCCTTCTCAACACATTCTCTTTGAAATCTCATACACACTGCTTAAATTAGGCTGTGATGGCACATCTTTCTATCTCCAGCCTTCAAGGTGCCTTGGACAGATGGATTTATCTAGGATTTGGCAGGCCTTTTAGCACCCTGGAGCAAAGACAGTCCTCACAGTAGAGACAGATTAGTGGGGTCTCTGTGCCCCTGTTCTTTAGCACCTGCAGTAGAGTTCTGCTTTCAGGCACATTGTCTTGGCTCTTTCCGGGCCTTTTCATGAGATTGCTTCAACTTGTTCCTCTGGCCCCATTTTCACCCACGAAATCTTATTCTGGAGGTGGTCTGTCCAGGTGGACACATGTATCTTAGAGCCACAGCTGCTGCTCTGGCCAGCAGTATCTGTGCAGAGTCTCCCTGTTGCTGAACACCTTCCCCATACACATAGTGTCAGTGGCAGCTGAGTCCCAGATGTAGTCCCAGTGCTACAGTCTGTGGCTGTACCAGACCCAGAGCACCCTGGAGAAGTGGGACCTCTCTAGTCAGTGCTGCCCACTGTGTGCCAGGATTTCTTGGAGATCCTTTCTTCATATTCCTGGCTCTGCTACCCCATTGCACCTGGTGGAGCTTCCCCCTGGTCCCAGTCCATCTTACTCCATTCTCACCAGGCTGGAGACCTTCCTGCCCTCTCTTAGGCTCAGGAAAGGGGGATGGCAGATATGGGCATGGAAGGGGAGCAGGACTGAGCAGGAGGGACAGGAGCTGCCTGGTGACTTGTCAGAGAAGTGGTGGAACTGAAGAGGACAGACTGAAACTGGGATTGTGCTCCCCTCTCCTCCCCACCTGCAACAGCAGGACAGCATATCTAGCCAGGCAGGGAAGTTCATAGCAGAGAACTGTGCTCTCCCTTCCCATTCCCGGCATGGGACACAGCTGGCAGAAAGGGTATGCGTGTATAGGTTTCCTCCTAAGTGTTGGTGAGGGACCCTAGGGCCTTGGGCAGAGGGCAACTGATTTAGTTCTCCTTGCAGCTCAGGCTATCAGCACAGACATCCAGAGACGGTCTGTCCCTGTTCTGGTGCATAGCCTCTCCGTGATGGAGTGGTCCCATCTCCTCGGCACACAGACATCCACCTGCCACAGCTCCTTGGTGAGCAGCAGTCAGGAGTCTGCTCTTCCTGCAGACTCGTGTCTGCTCTCTGCCGTGTCTGTGTCGATGATGACGATTCCTTTGGCAGCTCATTTGACGGCCCAGCTTGCTCCTCTCATGATAGCCTGCTCCCTTAAATCTAACCTGAATCCTCCCTGCTGTATCTTAATCCCATTACTTCTCCTTCATTGACTGGTGAGTCTAATTGGCTCAGCTCCTTTTCCCCATGGCCTTACCAACACAAGCAGGCGTTATCTGGTCTCTGCAGCCTTCCCTTCACCAGTCCCAGGGTCTTCTTTCCCCCAGGATCTCACTGGGCAAACCCTGGCTTGCATGGTGGTGCAGAAGTTTTTCCTGTGTAGTAAGTCCGTCCTTCCTGCTCTGAGCCTGGTCTGAGCAAGAGGAGAGGGCCAAAGGCATAAGCAATGCCTTGGTCTGTCAGGGTGGCTGTGTCCTCATTTCTGGTGCAGAAGATCTCTTCAAAGTAAGTGAAGTACACAGCTGCTGGAAAGCAAGGAAAGCAGGACAGCCTGCATCACCCTCTGGGAAGGTGAAAGCCAGGTGCTTGTCAGTACGAGGGGGCAACAACTAGAGGATCTCTGCAGTCAGACGGCTTTGTTTTTTTCCATACGTCATTCACCCATTGCAGCTTTCCATGGGCCAAGAGCCAGGCTCAACATTGCACTTATCAGCAGGCTTTCCTCGCATTCTGGGATGAGTGAGGTGGGAATCCTGCCAGCTCCTCTTCCTGGCCCTTCATGGCACTTATACATCCCTAGAAGAGAGCTAGTCCTTACTGCTGCAAGGCTGGACAATAAGTTTGGGCTATTGGGTGTTTCCTTTTGCTGCCAGTATTCTTGTCAGGTACTTAAAAGCTCTCCAGCTTTCCTGAACTAGAGGAGAGAGAATGAGCATGTAAGAAGCTCTGGATTAGATGATCTTCAAGACACATCACCACCCATTTATCCATCTTCCAGCACACAGAGGAAGCTTCCCAGATAGTGCCTAGCACTTTGCTTGCACAGAACCAGGTGGTGACACCAGCCAGCCTGGTGGTACTTGTTGAGCCCACTGTGTATGATGTAGACCTCACCAAGGAGGGAGTTTTCAGAGAGGGATTTTGGGCTGAGCAACTGTAGGGGCATTTGTTAGGACAGGAAGAGGGAATCTCAGTTTATAGCCAAGGCCAAGCCTTCCAGAGTCACAAGGATTAGTGCTGGGGAAGCTGCTGTTCTTCTGATGTCAAACAAGCACACCCCCTTCCCTTTCTGCTCCCCATAAAATGCACATGTTAGAGACCCAGCGTGTCCCTGCCCTCTTTATTGTCTCTCCACTCAAGAGGCTGCAGAGCTGTTTAGTAACTCTGATGGGTGCCCATGGGGAGGGAGGAAGAGGTTTAAGTGAAAGTTTAAGAGAGTTAGGTAGCATCTAATGTTGGTTAAACAGTGCCTGATGATTAGCTTGTGGGAAGAACAGTACCTTTTAAGCTCTTCTTCCAGCCTTCCTAACCATGGCTTCGGTCCTGCTGTCTAGTATCACCAGGGTGCTGCCTTATTTTTAGCAGGGTACAACTTTGCTGCGATGTGCTCCTACTCTACTGCAGTAGCGGTAGGGCATGGGTCTGAAATACTACACTACCACCAAGAATTTGTATTACCAAAGAGCTATAAGTCTCAATTTGTGATACGTGCTTCTAATCATGTTTCATTCATACTCAGTCGTTAGAATAAGGTCTATATGAATATGATCTGGATCCAGATAATCTCAGAAAAGGGATACAGTTTTAGCTCTGCTGCCTCCTGTGATGCACGTGGGCCTAGAGTCTCCACTGAGCCAGGTATGCATGGGGACCAAAGGCTGGTTCATAGGACCTGGGAGCCCAGTGGGGACTTGGGGCTGAGCCTGCCTAGGGCTCTTTTACCTGTGGGCATTCTGCAAAAAGGGGAGAGGGGCTTAGTCACATTTCAGGTAGAAATTAATGGGCTATGTTCATTCCTAGTGCAATTTTATTGAAGCCAGTGGTACTATACCAATGTGAGCTTGGCTTAGTGAGTCCTCAGAGTGGTCTGTCCATGAGACCAGACAAATTGATCTGTCATAGTGTTGCCTTGATGCATAGAGTTCATGTTGGGATTTGGCCAACATGAATGAATGTTGAATATCTACTGTCTCTGAAAGCAGTGGGTTGAATTGTTCTGCTCTACTGCCTCCATCACAGCTGCTCTACCAAGGGAAATGTTACGCCTATGGATGCGATCTCATCAACTCCCTCAAAAACAAGCTAACAAGCAAATTGACCTCCACTGCACTGGGAGAGGAGCCTTCTCCCACAGGAACGTAGCCTTTCCACACACAAGGGAAAAGAGGTCCCAAGGACAAAACTGAAGCTGCAAGACCGATGGCCTCATAGCCTCCCCTTCTTCCTTCCCTCCTCACCTTGTCTGTCTGTCTTGGGGGAGGGTTAGTTTCTTTGTGGAGTTCAGCAAGCTCCTCTTCCTGCAGCTCATAAACAGGCTCTATTAACAGGTACATTGTCCACCTATGCAACACTTCCAGAAGCTGCCGAGTTTTCAGGAGCCCATTACAGTGTGCAGCATGGCCATCCAGCACTGAGAATAAGCACAGTGGCTGCTGGAAAGCTAAGTGGGTTTTATTCCTCCCCTGCTCCTGAGAAAGACTGTTTTTGTGGGGATTTTTGTTTGTTAATTTGGTTTTCGTAAACTTCATTTGGGGAAATGAAGCTTGTGAGAAATTGGTGCCCATCCTGAACCTTTGAACTTTGGGAACGGATGTATCACCTACTGTGATTATAATTTAGCGGATTTTGTAGAGCAAAGTAACTTCACACACAGACACATGAGGTTCTTTCACACTCCATCAGCCCAAGCTGCTTCTGCAATCTTAGCTACTCACATTAGCGAAAGAAAAAGCCTAGCTAGAATGTGGTGAGATGACTTAGTATTTTGTATCAGTCCCATGGTCCCAATGTCCATTAGCAGCACCGTCAGCTGCCGTGCCATGAATCTGGACTTTGGATGGCAGTCCCTGAACCGATCGGGGTGAAAATGTTTGGAAAAACCCAAGCCTGATCTCTCCAGAAGAAAATGCAGAGAGAGGATCAGCTGAAAGCAGCCGTCACCTCCTACTCAGCCCAGCCAGAAGCTGGTGGGGTCTGTTTATGCAGCACCTGCCCTCCCAGGGAAACCCTGTCCCCGGGGGCCGAGCAGAGCAGAATGAAAATTATGGTGCATCTGACGAAGCAGCAGGCACAGCACCGTTCAACCAGCTGGGGAAAAAGTGGTGACACAGAGAACCCAAAATAATAGGATTTCACTTTGGAAATGCCAAGGACTGTCTCAAACTGAAATGAGACTAAAAGGCCTTAACAGTTGTGGGAAGTGTTTCAGGTTGCTGTTCCTTGCTTAAAAAAAAAATGAAGTTTTGATGATGAAGTGGGTTTAAACACCAGCCAGCTCTGTTAGAAATGTGAAGTGTTAGTGGAGAAGAAATGCTCAGGGAAGATTGGGATGGTGCCCCTGTGTTTTTGCAGTGGGGTAGACTGATCAGGAACAGAGGATGGAGGGTAAAATCTTCCTCTGCCCTGGGAGGTGTGACCTGGCCGTACACCCACATATGTGTGTGTGTGTCAGTGAGGGCTTACGCGTGCTTGTGTGCGTGGCCAGGACCTGTGGCCCCTCAGAGGGTTGATGTGTTTGTGACTTTGGTTCAGTCTCACCCATCCATCCTTGCAGCAAGGGCTTTGCAGGGTGACAGAGCATTGCTTATTCCTCATAAGAGGTAACTCCTGACCTGTTTTTTGTGAGGAGATGGTGTGAAGTGTCATATTTGCTGCAGCGAGTGGCAGGGAGCAGGGATAAAAGCATGGAACAAGCTGTGTTTGAGAACAAGCTAATCTCTTGCTGGCTGCCTGAAACAGAAATGCTGCTGGATCTGCTCCCTGACCAATACTCTCCAGCTCTTCTCACCCTCCCCAAACCTGATGTGCAAACTGTCATTCCTCTGAGCTAGCAAAAGCACCCCCCCCCCGAACTCCTCTGAGGCTGTGCATTCGCATCATTTCGGTCCACTCCCTGCTAGGTGCTGTGGGCTGGCGGTGAAATGCCAGCAGACATGCGATGACCTCAGGCGTTCTGGTGGCCAGACTTCACCACAACCTGCTGGTTTGCCTGTGCACAGCCTTCCAGCAATGCTCCCTGCCCTGGCATGCCTCATGCTTGCTTGGCGGAGAGACAGCACAGCCTGCAGAGCATTGCAGCATGTCCTGGCCTCACTTCTGCATCGCTTTATGCTTTCTTAGAGAATTTCACAGTGCTTATTCGAGCCTTTGTAGGCAGGGTAAGTTCAGCAGACTGAAATTAGAAAACAGAAGGCCTTAACATTTTGGTGGTCCTGATCTGCAGAGCCCCGGTGCTTGTCCCTGGGGAGGAGAGATAGGTCGGCTGTTGTGACAGTGTGGGACCAGGGGACAGGGTCATGGTGAAAGCAGCATGTCTGCTGGGGGAATCTCCAGACATAGGCTTCGTGCTTTTCCGCTGGGGCTGAGGGCAGCTTTGCTGAACAAGATGCAGCTGATGGAGGAGCTGGCTGAGGAGGGCAGAATAGCATGTGAATGCTGAGCAAGACATGTGGAGAGGAGGGGCTGTAGGAGGACAGCTGTAAAAGGCTTTGCAGATGCGATGGTTTTTACAGGAGAGAGAAGACAAGACAGGGCAGGGGGCTGCTGTGCTGGAGCAGTGGTGCTGCAAGGGAGCAGGGCACTTGATGAAGAAGCTGGGGAACAATGCAGACATTCAAAACAAGCTGTGCATGGTCTGGCTGAGGAGACAGGCAGGAGGTATTTCCAAGCTGAGGTGCTCAGGCCAAGCCTCGCTGCATTGTCAGGGCGGTGATGTTTCCTCTAAGCCCAGCACTGACAGCTTGAGCACGTGTCACCAAACCGCAGTGGCTAATGCAGCCACAAGGTGTAAATGTCACTAATGAATAAATTGCCTTGTGCCTTGGAGAGGCTAATCCATCACAGCCAGGGATAGAGATCTGACAGGCTTGGCTATTTCAGGCATAGCCTGTAGGGAGGAGGAACGCTTCATTTCTGAGCCATCCCCTTTGCCTAGGGAAGCTGATGCAAGGCTTGGCTCTGTGCTGCTCCCCAGCCTCCCAGCTGCATGAGCTCAGGCTTCATCTCTCTTCACTGCTACCAAAGGAAGAAGCAGGACATGGTCCAGGTTAGCCAAAAATGTCCTGTCAGCAGGGCAGTGTGTGGCCCCAGCCAGGGCTAGCTGTTGAGGGAGTTTGGAGGGAGGTTGCTGCACACAGGGCATGGGTGGTGTAGGTGCTGACAGGATAAAGCAGTGGGTCCCCAGCGATCAGGAGAACTTGCCTCTGTTGTCTGTGGTACAGAGCCATTGCCTGCACCATGCATGTTTCAGGCTTGGTGCTGTGTTTTACAAATGTGCCATTTACTCCCCAATCCAGTTTCACCATTTGCCCCTGTAAGAGGCGACCTGGAAATGCTCCAAGCCTGCCCCACCCCAAGCCCTCATCCAGTCTGGAGACAGCTCTGCTATGCTGTTCTGGGGGCAGCGCACAGTCTCCCCCATTTTCCCCCCTGCTGCTGAACCCTAGCCATCAGCACCTGGGCTGTCTGTGCAGAGGGCCAGCAGGTACCCATCAGGCAGGGACACAAGCTCAGCATGGATAAATCCATCTCCATGGGAGCAAAGGGAAGCCGAACACAGCGACCATTCCCATGCACAGCCTCTGTCCATCCCTGCAGCAGCCTGCTCCTCTACCCCCAGTCAGGGCTCAAAGTCAACCTGCCATCCTGTTTACAACATATGCCAGCATAACACCTTGAAAATTGATGTCTGGGTCACTGTGAGCAGAAGCTGCCAGGCTTGGGAAGCTGGCCACCGGCTCCTGTGCTCGGAGTAGCGGAAGCAGGGTTTGCCATCTGCTGCAGGAGGGAGCCAGCTGGGCACACCCGCTCCAGCCCGATGGGGCACCCACTGGCGTAGTTCAAGTGCAAGCCTTTGTGTCATTCCCTCTCCTTTACTTCCTGGCCACCCTCCCCATCACCCACCATCTCTGGCACAGACCCACGGGCAGGGGGGTTCCTCCCAGCTCAGCTGGGGTCCTTCTGCTGCTGAGTGCTGCTTGTGCTGCATCAGTGGATGGCAGTGGGAGGGAAGACCAGCTCCCAGACAAGACACCAGAGGTCATTCCCTCCAGATGGAGTCCCACAGCAGATCTCCCCTCCTCAAAGCCCCTCAGTACTCCTTGGGGATGGATCTCATGGGAGAGCTAAGGGGTCTGTACTGGTCCTGTGCTGGCACATGCACTACCCAGCACAGACTGACCTGCTAGTTACCACTCTGCAAGGCAGTCCCACACCATGGTAACTGGATCTGAAGCTGTCAGGTGACCCACCAACAATGTGAGCATTCACACTCAGACAATCTGTTGTTGCTGTCAGGGCTTTCATTTTAACCAATGTGTATAGCATTTGAAATGGTTTCAGTCCTTGCGAACTGGTGGATAGTGAACTGTTGGTCTTGGGTGTGGGTGAGTGGTGCAGGCTGCTTGGTTTGGGCTTTGCTTTTTGGCCAAAAGATTGATGGGAGGGAAAGAAAAACATTCTTCAGGCAGCAGCTACCTGTCCAGACACTCTTGCGTGGCAGCCCAGGAGTGGGTTTGAAGGATGCTCAGGTGCTATTAACAGTCTTGGCCATTTGCAGGAAGAGGAGCTGTGAGTATCCTGGAATGCAAGCCAACAGTTGTTCTGGTGATGATACATTTTCCCAAGTCCTTTTCTTTCCATCCCTGTTTCTCACTGGTTCTGGCGGCCAGTTCCTTCTCGTGTCTGCTAGCATGTCTGAGAGATCTCATTGCTGCCCTCCCAGCACGAGCTTTCATTACACAACTGGCTGACCCAACACAGCCCTGTACTTGGAGCTACAGACAGGCTTGCCCAGGACCATGCCACCCTCATTAAGCCCCCACCCCACCCTTGTTGCTGGAGCTGTTCTTTCATCAGCCTGATGCTGATCTGGGTCTTTTCTGCTGTTTCTGAACACGAGTTCTCATCTCATTCAGGTGTGTCATTCAGTGGAAGTATTTTGTAAATGCAAATAAAAACAAATAAATCTATTCAATACCTCGGTCTCGAGGATGGGAAGTAAGTAGTGGGAGACACCCAGGTGAGGAGGGTTCACAGCTGCTGTAGCTGGTTAGGATTTCTTGTGGATGTAGCCTCTGGAGCATCTGTGAATAGTTGGGAAGGGAGCTACACAGACCTGTGAGGGCTCAGGGCTGAGCCCTGTCGGTACCCCTCACATGCCCACCGCTGCCAGGGACAGCCTTGCACTCCATCCTTTCTGATCTATAAGGGTGTGAAATGGTGCGGGTAAAGGTCTTGCTGGCTGGGGACTGACAGCCGGCAACACTGTGGGTGTCTGTATCCATCAGGTGGAGCAAGGCAGAAGCGGGTATGTGGCGAACAAATTCTTTTGTGAACACTGGGAAACAGTTTTTACTTTTCAACTCTGTCAATATGATCTAGCTCTGTCTGTCTCTCTATATATGTACAAACAGTATATCACAATGTTGCCTTTTTTGTTGGAAATATCAAAGTACAAAGATTGTAAACCAAATCGGTGTAATAAAAGTTTCAGATGATTCACTGAGCTGGCTGCCAGCGGTGGGTCTGTGAGCTGGGCAGGGCTGGGAGACATGTGAAGCCCCTGCATTACTCACAGGGCCAGAGAGGATGGATGTCAGCCCGCTGGCTTAATTCCATGCTGAACTCATTCTGAGTGGGGCAGCTGAAGGATCGAGGCAATCAGGTATGTGCCCTGCCCTGTCCTGTCCTCAGGTGGCCACAGCCTGTGGAGCAGAAGGAAGCTGCCCCATTTTCCTGCATGCCCAAGGAAGCTGCTCTGTTTTCAACACTGTGGGCTTTGTGGGCCAGCAGTCCTGCAGGGACTCCTCTAGCTTGAACTTATGTGAAACACTGATTTTTTTGGACAGGTTTGTACAGAAGAGCACTATTAGTTAAAGTAAGCATCTGATTGTAAAGAACTCACCTGTTTGCAAAGCCGGCTAGCACTGATCAAAGGCATAGCAAACCAAAGCAGGAAACCATGGTGGAGAGACCTACCATTTATTGAATCTTTTTTTTAAAATTATTTTTCACCACCCATATGTGATACTCCAGACAGATTTTGCTGTAAAAATGAATAAAACCTTGAGCAGAGCAACAGCCAGAAAAAGCCGCTGAGGAACTAGAAACAACATTCCCTCTATTCTCTATGCATCTCACGTCCTCCTCAGCAAAAAGTCTAAAAGAGCTGCTGGCCCTGAAGGTTAGGTCTGGGCCAGACCATTTAGATAGTGGATACTTCACCTTTGCTGCTTTACAGGTGGAACAACATCCAGCTGCCTGAACTAAGCTTGCTGCTGGAGCGTGTAAAAAAACACCACAGGAGGTGGGATTTAGTCTTGGGGGCAGTGGGAAAGAGGGCTTAAGAGGCAGATTGCTTCTGTGATGCCACTACAGTCCCATGAGGTCTAATGTCTCATATTAAGTCACAGGTTGGATGATGGGGGTCTGGGAAAAGCTGTGGTGACAGCCACAAGTTGAATGTTTCTCAGAAATACGAATAAAAATAAGCCTATGAAGTGAAGTATCTCCAACACTGCACGGTGAAGCTCGTTGCTTTCTGAAGTGTTTTCTTCAGAGAGGTTTGGCAGGGGGGTGCTGCGGAGACTCCAGCCTCGCTGCTTCCTGGTTGGCCCACACAATTTGGTGAATGAGGTACTCGGTCTCCTCACCCACCTCTGCCAGGCGGAGGTCAAACTCAGTCAAAGACTTGTTATCTGTCAGCCCTTCAAGCAGCTGCTTTCCACCGTCCTGCAAATGGGTAAGAAGAGGAGGTTAAAGGAGGAGATCCAAATGTGAAGTGTATTGTTCCCTTTCCCTCCTCCCTAGGGCAACTTCTGCTGCTGGTGATGGGGAGCCCATGAGATGATGCCAAAAGGAACTAAGGCCTTCACCCAAGCCCAAAATGTTGCTCACAGAAGTACACAGGGAAGGAGTGCAACCTTATGCAGCACTCAGTGATATGACACATGCTAATGATGCCCTCTGGGTACCATGTCAAGAGTCCTCAAGCTCAGGCTGGTTAATAGCATGGCTGGCAATGATAACCTGAGAGGAGTCTCTGCTCTCCCTGTCCCCTGGGCCCTAGCTCCCTGCTGGCTGGGGATAAAGGGCAGATTAGTGCTGCTCCTCATATTGGCAGTGGTGAGAGCCCCAGTACTGGCTATCTCCTGCCTGGATGCCGTTTCCCAGGCTGGGTTGGCTTTCCTTGGGGGAACATCTCATACAACTGAAGCCCAACCTTCGTGGGACAGAAAATGCAATGTAGATAGCTTTAGGGAGACAACTCACCTTGGGGTATTTCCCTCCCTTATCTGAAGTACTGTCTTTAGAGATGTGACAATTCAACTTTTTTCTTCCCCACAGCTATTCTCTTTCAGATCCCAAATACACCTCCTGCCCCCATCTCCTCCATTCAGGTGGTCCCCTCAGCCTAGCACCCTGCCTCATAGACATTTTGCCAAAAAGGACAGAGAAAAAAGTTGTGGGATTTTTTTTGTGGTTTTTTTTTTTTTTTTTTTTTTTTTTTTTTTTTTTTGGGGTACAGAGGTCAGAATTTGGTGCATCTTTAGCAAAGATCCTCATTTCCCCAAAGATAATACCACCATCCCAGTTGGTGGGCTGCCATGGAGCTTTACAAATGAGTAAGAGGAGAGCTCATTGAAAGAAAGATACTAAACACAGAGTATTATTTACTAAGCAAAAATCCTTCTATCCTTTCCAACCTTTGCCCCCTTGTATCATTAAACTCAAATGTTTTTTCATGTCCAGGGTCATAAAACTCAGAACTCACAAAAGGTTTTCTGCCATCAAAACCTTTTAAAACCGTTGTCAAACACATTGATGCCAATATTCCTGCCAGCAGGGACAGCTGGTCTTGCTGTCTCTTTATTGTGACAGTGAGAAAAATTGAGGCAGTGCAGAAAGTTTAAAAACCAGTATGATTGCATTTGGCTGTCTAGTTTCGGATTTCTAAAGCTCTTTTTAATCAGCAGAAGAGAAGCAGTCTGGTTTGTAGGCATGTTGCATACTGCAGATCTTAGGGTTGTAGTAAGCTCTGTGGATGCTCCTGTATCTAGAAAATGTAAGTCTGTGGTTTAGGAGCTACTTCAAAGCACCCAGACGTGACTCTTGACCTATTGGGACTGCTCCAGAGCTGCAGGGTGAGTTAAAGAAGCTCAATAACCGAGACAATTTTCTAAGAGTCTCCTCTGAGTGTGTGATGGACAGGAGAGAATTGGGGAAGGGTGACACTATGTGTGTGCTGCTGAGTGACAGATGGCACAGCAGATCCAAAGCACCAAGGATATGCATAAGGCCCTTGTCTCATGCCGCGTAACATTATCTACTCCCACATATGTGAAGTGGCTGTGATTTTTCCCAGACATACTCCCTGGTTTTCAGTTTCCTGAGGGGAAAAGCCCTTTCTGCCCAAAACCCCAAAGCCTGCAAGCCAGATTCAGCCCTGTGAACAGAGCTAGATGTACAAGTGAGATAAATGAATGTGCGTGCACAGATGTCCTTCCTGCTGTCTGCTGGAGTCTCTTCCCTGCTCGCAGCTGATTGTTATCACAGTAAGATGGCAAAGTGAGGGATGCATTTGCCTCTGTGACTTCGAGGCAGGGCAGGCTCAGCATCTGCTTTGCAAGTCCACCACGCAGGCTCACAAACTGCAGGGAGAAGGGGTTTCTCTTACCAGTCCCAGGTGGTTGCATGAGAAGTTGATGCTTGTCAGGGTGGTGTTCTGAGCCAGGACCTGGGAGAAAAGCGCAGCAGTTGGCTCTGACAGGCTATTACTTCCCAGATGGATGGACTTCAGGGTGCTGTTGGTCAGCAGGGCATGGCCGACTGCCTCCCCACCTTTGTCCTCCACGTGGTTGAGGCGCAGATTCAGGGAGGTCAGGGTGGAATTCTCAGCCAGGGCTTGAGCAAGAGCCTGAGCCCCCAGGTGACTGATCTGGTTGTTACACAGATTGAGGGTTTCTAACCTGCTGTGGTTGATCAACTTGCCAACAGCTTGTGCTCCCTTGTCCCTGATGAGATTGTGGGACAAGTTCAGCTCTACCAAGCAGGGGTGATCCAGCAAATTATGGACCAGCAGCCTGGTCTTGTCATCATCCACTTTGCTTCGTGTCAGCTTGAAAACCTAGGGGGATAAAGGACAGGGACACTAAAACAGCCAGCACTTTGGATTGAGCTTTGTACAAGATCTCAAGGATGTTAAGCCTATGGTCCACCAGACAGGATTCACCCCCCTTCACTTCAGACACTTTTATCCAGTAGACTCAAGTAGTTGCTTTTATAATGGGCAGATACTTCCAGCAGGCAGGGCATGTCACTCATGTCCCATGGAGATGCCTGGAGAAATGGTTCATCTGGAAATGCCTGTTCTTCTCCTCTGCCTCCACAGGATCTCTGACACAGGGGGCTAAATTAAAATGAGATAAAGCTGCCCAAACATCTGCAGAGAGTTAACAGCAGAATTCAACTCAGCTCACAGTCAAACACTGAATGAGCACGTGCACCAGTGGTAACCACAGTGCTCTCTATGAAAGGCAATGTCCTGTGTGGCCAGGGCACCTTAACAGCCGCAGGAGAGATAATTTGTCTTCTGGAAGCCAAGCACACAAATATTTCCCAAAACATGTCAATCTGTGGGGAGAGCATTCAGCCAGCCTCTCTGCTTGCACTCTGGATAGCAATGCTCACTGATGTTTTGGAGGGGCTGAGTGTCTGCACTACAGTTGCCACAGAACTGAAAATGTTGTTGGTGCCCAGAAGGAAAACCCCTCATCACTCTAAGGAAAATGAGAGTATTTCTCCATGTTCTTCTCGTGAGTCTCTGCTCTTCTGGAGCATGTTGACATGTATTTACTGAGCATAACTACCAAAAACTCCTCATGAAAATCTCTCTCTCCTCCCTCCCAAAACTATACAGGGGTGTTGCTTTCTCTTGCACTACAGTGAACATGTGAGTATTTTTCTCACCAACCCTCTGACAACCTGTTCTAACAAGGATATAACAAGATACTCAGCACTAGGCCAGCAAGTTAACATCTCTGCACTCTGGCAGACTGCAACTTGCAAGAGGAAGGGTGCTGCCAGTAGTCAAAATTGGTCCCTGGGTTCCTATCCCTGGCCAATTTGAAGATCTAGCTGAGGAAGGAAGGTTCAGTTTGGGATACGTTACTTTCAAGTTGTGGCACATCTTCACGGCGACAGCCAGATTGTAGCAGTCCTGGTGGGTGAAGTTAAAGAGGTTCCACTCAAAGTTCATGCCGCAGTCCTTCACACCATAAGTGAGATGAAGCTCTTCAAGGTGAGGGAGAGCTGTAATGAGGACTCCCAGGTCATAGTGATGTATGGAGACCTTGTTGAATTCAAAATCACTCCCTGTATCAGAGAGGTCATCCCTTTCCTCCTTTTGATCCATCTGCAGTGGTGGCAGAAACTGATCAACCTCCAGTTTTTGCACATAGTCTTTGCAGAATGGGATGAGCTCTAGGACCTGGTTGGGGTCTGTGGTGTTAGGGATGAAACATTTCAGGATGTTCTCCAGGTGACGTTCAAAGAACATCCGTTTCCAGCTGTCTCCATAGTTGGAGATGTCACACACTTGCCAGCGCTCAGTGCAGCACCTCCTCCAGTAGTCCTCATCGCTTATTAGGTTGGCAGTCACAGCAAGTGGAAGACCAGTGGAAAGCCTGTCCAACACTTTCCTTTGGTGCTCGGGCAGTAGACGGTCCACAATAGGGTTCTCTGGAGGGGGTGAAGAGAAGGAGAGGTTGGTCTGGGCTGTAGCAACCATGGCAGGCACTATGGTTCTGCCCAGGCCCCCATCTGTGTGCCCATGCCCTCCCCTCTGCTGATATTGGCTCTTTTCTCAGTTGCCTGTGGTTGGTGCAGGGAGCTAAACTGACAAAAAGTGTGTAGGATTCATCTCCTACCTTTCTCTGGAGGATTTCTAACTTTTACAATAAAACATCAGTGTAATTGGGTTTACTCCCATAATATTTGGAAGCTGCATCAGAAACTTCTCTCCCAGTTTAAATTTAGTTTGAATGCAGTTTATATTCAGAGCAGGTCTTCTGCTCCCAAGAGAGCTAATTCAGCCTTACAGTGATGGGAGAGCTTGGATTGTGATTTGCTGAACTTTCCCCTTTTGGTTTCTAAGCACATTGAAGGATGATATTTGAGAACAACTGTCTCTGTGCTCTTCATGCAAGTCCTCATGCCTTTTTATCTGAACTCAGGTGTCTGTCTTACCCCAAACTGATTCCTTTTCCTTTCCACTGAGATGCACTCTTAGTCTTTAGGTCCACCTTGTTTAAATAAAAGTTCGCTTTTTCCAGGAGCTCTCCCCTGTTCAGTGTCTTTTCTGATGCTTGCCCTAAGCCTCAGCCGGCTTCTGTCTGGTGGAAGTTCTTTGTGGTAAAAAATGCCAGAGAAAAGCCATGCATACTTGCACTATGAATGCTTGGTGACATGTACACGGTAGTGTTGAGTAACAAAAATCATCAGTGGAGAGGCCTATCTGCACATGGAAAATCATATTTTGAGACACAAAGTGGGGTTAGCTTTATATTTCCTCTATCTCTGTGGCATTTCCATTCTAAGGACACCCAGAGTTTCACCACAGCTTCTTCCTGGAGTCTATTCTCCAGTGTCCTACAGCTGGCACTGCAGTGACCTCTCTGCAAAGTCCCATGACACCAGCAGAGGTGGGACACATATGGGGTGGGGCAGAACTGGGCTAGTTTCACTCTGGCTCACTTAGGCCATACCAGTGGGCAAGACACAGCCACACAGCTCAGGTGCATGAGGGTCCCCAAGACACTGAGCACACTGCTTCTATGTGCACGCAGTGTAGGTCAAATCCATTTGGCATCAGGCTGACTGACCAAGCTGATAGGACTGCAAGGGTGTCCCAGCTCAGACCCCCACATACCATCAGCTCCTGGGGTGAGGCAGCACTGAGCTCCTCTATACTGTCTTACAGTCCTAATGTGGACATAGCCTTAGACCTATCTTTGATCTTTGCTGCCACGTCATTGAGTCAGCCAAAAAGACAGGTAGACCCTTCCTTTCCCCTTCCCAGTCAGATGAGATACGCTTTTTCTGTTTTGCTATGTTTCATCAATCTACCTGCTTCAAAAGCACATTCCCTGCCTGAGGATACAACTTGTCACATCACCACCAAAAGCTGTGGAGAAGGCCTGAGACTGTGAGTACAACACATATTCTGAGATGTCAGCTCCTCTGGGCAGGGAGCAATTCTCCATCTCGTTGTACAGCACTCAGCACAATGGGGCTCCATCCTCAAGTCCTACCGTAACACTTGCATGAATCAAGAGAAGGAAACAGCAACTGCATAGCCCTTACTGTGGTTGAGGTAAATGAGTCAAGCAGAGCATGGAAAGAAGAAATGATAGGACAAGGTTAGGGCAGAGTCATGTCCTGGATAGCAGCTCAGAGGACTACAGCCATCCCTGGAGTGTACAAGTGCATACTTAGTAACTAAACAGTTTGTTTAACTAGCTGCCTGAGGGGATATTTCTTCCCATCTGTTCCTTTGGCAGTGCTGGGTACCACATTCTGCCTTTCAGATGCATCCCCCTGCCTTGTTGACCCTCTGTTCCCTGGGACTGATGCTCTATCTCCGTGTGTCCCTGGGAAACGCGTTTCTGCTTACTCTCGAAATTGTGAACGATATGCTGGAGGCAGAGCTCAGTGAGGCGAGGGACAGTGGTGAGGGACCACTCAGGATCCTCAATGATGCGGTGTGTGGAGTACAAGTCGGCAGCGAGTCTGGCCTGGGCTGGATACAGTGAGGGAACGGCTGTGCTCCTGTCACCAGCCACTGGCTGCTGCATCCTGCTCAGGACCCACTTCTCCTTCAGAAGCAGGAGGAAAATTTCTTGAGAGTCACCACCACATTTTCCAGATGGGCTGCCTGCAATAGAAAAAGGCAACTTTAGAAAGAGGCCAGTGATAAGAATGCTCTGATCACACTGCTCTCCTGTAATGCATTTGGCCCCTGCCCTTTGCCTGCCTCCTCTGCTTGGACTGGAAGCACTGCAGCAAAACAACTATTATTCAGCCTTATCTTTATACACTGACCTGTACAAAGAGGTCTCTAGGCACCAAATGTAATAAGCAGATAGTAACATGGTGTTAATTCAGAGTGCTGCTGAAGAGGATGGACAGGACTTGATTGTTTACTGTCTTTTACAATAGAAGAAGTATGTGAAGCTGGCCGGAGCTGGGTTTAAAGCAAAGGAAAATTATGTTTTTTCACACGGTCTGCAGTTGAACTGGGGAATTCCTTGCCATGGGATGTTGTGGATGCTGAGACTGTGAAGGTTCCAGGATAAGTCCATGGAAGAGAAAACCCTTGAGAATGATTCAGTGCACAGAAACCACATCTGGCTCAGTGTGACAAACACAGCTGGAGGTGGGGAGAGTGCTGGAGGAAAGCAACACATATACTTGCATTGTTTTTCCACTCTTCTCCAGGCATCTGCTTCTAGCTGCTATCATGATGTGATACTAGGCCAGACCATCCCCTGGTTTGATCCGGTATGCCTGTTCTTACAACTCTTTAAAGACAGATGCTTTCCAGATGAATACACTATAAGTGAGGAAGGGCCTGCAAAGGAACTGGCAAAAGGGGAAAAGAGGAGATCTGGGAAATGCTGAGAACTAGAGGGGAAGAACAAAATGATTCATGCTGTACTGCAGCAAATATGTCAGCAAAAGCTTCTTCAAATGCACTTGAAGAAGGTCTGAGAGGAGAGGAACTGTTTCAGAATGAGAGTCAGGAAAAAGTGGAGATGGCAGTGGCAGGGCATCCTCCAGCACAAAGCAGGATGATGAAGGGTGCCAAGGGCAGGGAAGTTGTATTTCCCGGGAGGCACTGGTGTATGGATGGCAAAGGCTGTAGAAAAAGGGAGCCAGCTCTGAAGAAGGGTGGGTGTGGAAGGAGAAGGAATCGGCGATAGGCAGATGTGAGGGCTGGGAGTCCTTTCTCTTTGAAGTTCCCTGCCCCCAGAGGAAGGTGCTGTGATGGCAGGCCACCATTGAGGTGGAAGAGAAGAGGTCTGATTCTCCACAGCACACTGACCCAGCTGAAACCCAGCTCTTGGTGCTTGATGGACTTCAGCAGAAGGGAAAAGCACAGCTGGATGGCAGCAAGGTGGCATTAATGGAGGAGAAGTGACTGGGGAAAATGTATTCTCCTTGCTCAGTCCTCTGTCCTATTCAAAAAGCATCTGTGTCACTTCATCCCCCAGGCCAGTTACAGCTAATTGGAGCTTCTGATGGCTTTCCTGACCTTTTGGAAGCAATTGTGAAAGGCCAGCTGCTAGGGAAAGCCAGTGCAGCATCGGTGGCCTAGTATTATTTCGTGGCTGTGTTCCAGCAGATGATCTGATTGCCAGTTTACTGGTAGCAGGTTGATTTTAGAGGGTACTTAACCTATGGCACATATCAGCCTGCCAAAGGGGCTCCTGGAGACCAAGTGGGAGACACAGCTGCCCTCAGGCAGAGCTGAAACCCAGCTCAAGAAACAGTGCAGCCCCTCCATACACTGGATGAAGCTCGCTGAGTGAAGCTCGCCTGCAGCAGGAGGTCAGCCAGTGCTTGCTACCCAGCTGTGGGCCAGCCCTAACGTAGGGTGACCCCAAAGGAGAAGACAGCTGGGGGTGCCTGTGTCCGGGCTGCTGAGGAACTTTCCCTCGACCTGAGCTCCACAACAAGTCAGCTCGGATGACTCTGTCATCTCCACTCGGCATTCATTGTGAAGCCAGCAAAAGCAAGGCTGCCGGTGTGCAACAGCCAGTGCACAAGCCATCTGAATCAACCCCATGCCTGTGGTGCCGGAGGGGGGGTGGGATTTGAGTCTGATGCTGAGTCACCGCTCACACCGCATCCATTCCCACCACCCCAGCACAGTAAACACATCCCACTGGGTCTGCTGCACCCCACCAGGTGTGTTTACCGTCAGGGGAAGGACCTCTTTCTCTGCTGCATCCCCTCCGCCTTGGCTTCAGGAGTCTCGCTCAGCCAGAGCTAACATGCCAAGCCAGTTCCCATAGCCAGGTTTGCTAAGTGTGTATTTAAACACCGGAGAAGCGTAATTCACTATCAATAAGCCAAGTCAACAGCATTAACACATGCTCCTTCCCACCCACTCTACATACACATCAGTCACCTACACTAAAAAGGTTTTATTAAATGTTATACAACGAATGGGGTCATGTAGTAAATTCCCAGTTTATGTCATTTAACACCCAGATTAGGCTGAAAGGTAAATGATACTAAATGTTCTAAAAAAAAAAAAAAATCACGCTTCCCTTCCCAGGAAGAAGCTGACAGAAATCCACACACACAACCAACTTAACGCTGCTACCTAATATGTCTAACAAACCTTCAGTTGAACCTGTTTTGATCTGGAAATAAAAGATTTCTGCTCTTTTGGTTCACATCAAAGCCCAGAGAGACCGAAAAAGAAAAGCTGCATGGAAACTGGTGACCTTTGGCTGGATGCTTCCTACCAGCAGTACGGTGATCCAAGAAACGGAGCAACTGCAAACACCACATTTACTGGAAAGTACGAGAGAAATTCCTGAGGATAGTTACAGCCCAGCTGAGCTCGCATTCATGCTGAAGCTCAGCCTACCCAGAAATCGAGGAAGCTCTCACGTCACTGCAGCAGCACCCTGAAAATGCCAGCTGGCCTGCAGGTGCCTTGACCTTTGTGCTGTTACCTCCACTCCTGCAGGCTAGCGGGGACATCAGCAAGTGATCCCAAATGCTGGCTAGCACTACTGATCCCGCTTCCACCCGCACGCTCCCTGGCACTTTGAAAGGCCGATGCTCAGTGTGCATTAGGACCGCATATTGCAGGCTCATCGAGGGGCTGAGTCTCTGCCATGGGCTTTAAGTAAGTTAAAAGAAAAAGTATGCCAAATGAGGAATCTATTTAGCTTCAGGTATAATGGAATTTGTAACAGGAGACTGGGCAGAATGAGGCCAGCCAGCCGTTTGCGAATACAGTTAATGTTACCAGTGTAATCCAGGCAGTGTGAAGGGCCAGTACTGTGGTCCTGGGATCTGTCAGCACACACAGGTGTGGGTCACTGCCCCAAAGGGATGTCAGAAACACGAAAGCACTTTTGGACCTGAGCATTGCCCACGCAGTGGGCTCTGTCCCGGCAGCCCCTGGGAGGCAAGGAAAACATCTGGCCGCTGCTAACGGCGCCAGCCCCAGCACCCCAGATCCCTGAAATGTCGCGCCCTCCCCCCAGCGAAGCTCCTCTCCAGAGTCCCGGAGAGGGAAGAAGACTCGTTAGCCCGGCCGCTTGGTTAAGCATAAGACCTGCAAGCTGCCGAGAGGAGGTGTGGGGGGGGGTGGGTGTCCTCCGACGCGACGCGAGGTCCGCGGGAGGGGGATGCCGGCAGCCGCAGGGTGGGTCCCTTCTCGCCCCTCGGCCCGCGGCTGTCCGTGCCCACGGCTGCGGGAATGGGGGGTGCGAA